TCAGAAAGTACAGGCGAAAAAATTCAAAATATAGTCCGAGTGATGTTTAGAATTAGCTCCATGTTATTGTAGACAGCTAAGTTATATAGAAATTAATAAGCCAGTGGATGGGCCTGGGCCCTCAAGGGAGTTAGTGCAGAAGATGAGCAAACATCAAAACTGAGGCTGGAGGTAAATCTGCAGAGGTGCAGGCCTAGACAGGGAGACCTGCCTGTGACAGACAGCAGCTTGAGTTTACACTGCAAATAGCATCATCACCTGGTCTGGTTGTCACTGGGTTGGGTTTATGAAATCCCTGAGGTTAAAAAATATAAAATAAAAATCAAAATAAAACTTAAGGGCTGGCAAGATAGTTCAGCGGACTAAGTGCCTGCTTAGGCAAGCCCAAGGACGGGGGTTTGATCCCCTGCACCACACACCACATCAGCCCCGCCCCTGGGTGTACTATGTGGTCACTGAGACCCAGCATCATGGCACATGCCTGTAATCCCAGTGCTGGGGAGGCTGAAAACAGAAGGATCACTACAAGTCTGAGCCGTGTAGTGATATCCTGTACCAAATACATAAAAATAAAATAAAGCTCTGAGGTTGAAACAAGTTACCTACCTATCCCATCCTCTTAAAATAAGTTTTCAGGCTTGTTGACTCTCATCAAAGAAAAAGAATTTCTAGCACTGGTTAGAAAGAGGCATGAGTAGGATTTATTAGACAGGGCTGGGGAGAAAGCTCAGTAGAATTAAGTGCTTGCCTTGCAAGTGTAAGGTCCTGAGTTCAATCCCCATTACTGCCAAAAAAAAAAAAAAAAAGGATTTATTAGAGATTGTAGAACAATTCAAGAATGGGATATTGGCCTGCAGAGACGTGACATGCATTATAAATGGAAGGAGGGCACATTGAGAGAGGTGTATTTAAGCTAGTATAAAGGGTTAACAGAGTTTTATGCCTTAACTGTGGAAAATTATAAAAACCCCTTGTGCTTCCTGTTATCTACTCTAAGAAATATGTTTTCCTTTTAAGCTCAAGGCTGTTCAACAATATATAACTGTTTCTTGTCAAGGCAGCAAGCTCACACAAACTCCCTCCCCAACCATCTCCTGTAACGTAGTCAGCTTAAGATGTATCTTA